CATCCTCTGAGATACTGCGCACAGTCAGCGGAATGCAGAATTCGAGGCGCCCTTTGAGTGACCCAAGTATGAAAGGGATGACTTTAGTGTTTGATGTGAGTACAAAAGCGGCTGAAGGTCAAGAACGATCGTGACATCCGTGGCCTAGCGTGGGACCAACTCCTTCCCTTGCACAGACAGGAACAGGGCTGTTCCATGCGGTGACCATGTGTCCTCAGGTCCCCAACAGCACTTCCTAGCTCAAGGGCTTTCCTGTTTCTGAAATCTCACTGGTGGTTTCCCTAGACCCACCGCCTCTGCTGGGGAGAAGACCCTGCTCCTGGGCGCCGCGACACAGGCCGTCTCTGCCTCTCCAGGACGGCCTGTGTCCTCTCAGGCTGGGCGCCCAGGGAAGCAGCTGAGGCCCCGGAGCACCCAGGCCTGGTGACCTGGCTCACGTAGCGTGTTAGCGGTCACCAGCTGGCCGGCCCTTTGGCTTGGGAACAGCTTTATGAGCTAAGGGGAAGAAACGGCTGGACCTTCCGTTCAGCCACCCCACACCCACTTTCCGTGTTTACAAATATCTTGGCTTAGTACCTCCCAGTCACTAGAAAAGTTCTCTAGCCTCACACAGTGCAGACATGCGTGGACTTAGTTGTGGATAAAGGATAATTCTGAAAGCAACTTAAAATTTGCTTTGTGTTGGGTTAAATTTGTAAAAATAGCTCAGAACAGTCATCCGTAACTCTTGACCGTTGCCAATAGCTGCAGAGGTTTCCGGAGAGAGAGGACGATCCCCGCTTGGGGGTCAAGAGCTAAGGAGGGCCTGCCAGGCTCGCCAGATGCGTGGGGACGAGGGACCATCGTGGGCTGTGAGAACGGTGCCGCCCCGGCCCAGCATTAAAGCAGACTGAGGGCCCTGGGAGCCATGTCCTCCGGGGACAAAGGTCTGTGCAGCCGAGATAAGGGTGCTCAGGACACGCTCCAGCCGTGGGCTTTTCCCAGGAGGAGGTGCGTGGTTTAGGAAGGCGCTGCCTTCTGAGCTGGGCCGCTCCCTGGGCTCCTGCACGTGCAGCGTGCCTGCCCCTGGCACTGGCAGTGCTTTGCTGGGCCTGTGGCCTGTGGGAAAGCCAGTCCTGCCAGAATGCCGGACAGGCTTGGGCCCCTCTGACCCAGGCTCTCCAGAGTACCCCGTGGGAGATTCCCTGGGTGAAACGGAGAGCCTGGTATGGAGGCCTGAGCAGCCCAGCATGAAGTCCCTCTGAAAGTCTAATACTCAAGTTGCAGGAAGTTGTTTTTGTGTTTTTTGTTTGTTGGACAATATCTTCCTTCTTCCCCAAGTCAGAGTGAATAAAAGAGAAAATGGCATGAGCCAGGGTGAGCCATGAGAGGGGAAACTCCAGATAAGTCCCAGGTCACAGACTAAGGGATCCACAAGTCTGGGTGCAGATACACGGATGTCATCCTTTTAGCGGCCGAGGCTAAGGGTCCCTCTTCCCCTCCAGGGTCCTTGAGACTCATGGGATGCAGCCCCAGAAAATGCCAGTGACTTTCATCCTGTGTCTGCTGGGGATCCACCAGTCTCTCTTCTCTGAGACTCGGTTTGTTGGGATCACCTAGGACAGACACCCTTAAGGAAGAGGGCAAACCTCCAGACTGGACCAACATCCTGGAGGAGTCCATGGCCACAAGGGGGCTCCCAAACCCGCCTCAGCGCCCCCTCACCCAGGCCTTGGAGAGATGGGTATGTGCTGGGGACCTGGAGAGCCAGGGTCTCGGAGAAACTCTGCTTGCAGCCATGCCAGGGACCCAGAGCTCCACGCAGGTGCAGCATAGGCACCTCCGCTGCTGGCCGGTCCTTTGGTGCATTATCTGCTGTGACCTAAGGAAGCCTTTTCCAGTCCTGCTGGAGGGGCCCAACCACGGGGGTCCAGGGGTGGCTCATGAACACACACACTCGGCACTCACCATCGGGCCAGTGGGCTTTGGAACAATTTACCAGTGAAGCCAAAAAGAGAGGCAAAACTAGACGCACCTCACTGATAACAACTGCCCTCAACAGGGAGGTGCTGATTTTAAACGGCGGGTGTCGCAATGGTCACCCTCACTTGCATGTGAGGCCGGAAGCAAATGCCGAGCACGATCCCCGCTGTTTTGGGGGGAGGTGAGGACCAGCTGCTCTGCCTCTGGCCCAGAGTGGCCTGAGCACCACCTTTCTTGAACAGGGAGATTACACTCCGAGGTTTTCCTCCATCCGCTGCTGTCAGCAGCTCCTCCTGTCCATCAGGCCCACCAGGAGCCTCCCCAGGGCCTCAGCGCAGGTCCCTGGGCGATCACCCAGCTCTGGCTTCCACCACCATCCGAAGTAGGGGTGCCCCAGGCCTGGCTACACTCTCACTCTGAGGTTCTGACTTGAGTGTGTGTGTGTGGGAAGGGGAGTCTGTGTATACACTGTGAGTGTGAGAGAGAGGAAGGGCGGAGAGGTGGGGTACCGGAGGGACTGCAACCACGCAGAGGCTACCTTGGCAGGATAGGTGACAGGTACATTTAAAACAGCTTCCCGGGAACCCTGATGCCCAGAGGAGCTGCGGCCTGTTCTCCCCTCTGCCCCACGCTCCTGCTGGAGAGCCTGAGCTGCATCTGCCTGCCCCTCTAGGAGCCCTGCCAGTCTCAGACCATAGGTAACTCTCCCTGGGTCCCACGGACACCCACCCTGTCACCCACTTCAATCTGGTGGCTCCCTCCTTTTCCACGTTCAGTTAGACCTCGGCCTGGGGCCCAGCCGTGAAGTTTTCTGCTCTGCCTGGCCCCGAGGGCAGGCCGCAGCACCCAGGCACCCATCCCGCTCGCTCTCCCAACAGATTTGGGCCCTCCCACAGCAAAGCTTCCCTGTCTAGCAAGGGACACCTGCACCTTTGCCCTCTCAAGCCCCCTTAGGTGCCTTCCCTGGAGGGGGTGTGTTCCCACCACCTCAGGTGCTCCAGGCTGCACTGTGCCCTCTGCCTGCGCCCCAGGACCCCCCTCTTCACAGCCCTCCCTCATCTCATCTGGTCTCACACCCCAGCTGGGCGGCAGTAGGCTGGTTTCCTGGGACAGCCACAGTCGTAACCATCGCAGGGTCCACCTGAGTGCCGAGTGTCCGTGTCCCGCATACACCGAGACCCTGATCAAGGCCTGCTGACCAAATCAGTCTGGTGATCCTGCCTGTTCCCTTCTAAACCCTACTTTCTGGAAACCGGTTTTTGTTTCCTGACTGCTGTGAACAGCGCCCACTTGTCAGGCGGCCGGACGGTAACACCACCACCTTGCTTTCCCAGGGCAGAAACGCCGCAGGGCAGAGGCTGACGGCCAGAAAATGGCCTGATTTCTGTAGTTAAGACCAGTCTCGTTTAGCATGTAGATCAAGGAAAGAACTGGATATGAGGGGCTGCAAAAGCATGAGAAGAACATGTGAAGCCCACAGGAAACAGCCAGCTGGTTGAATTTAGTAATCTCATTTTGTTGAAACCCTTTGTGACCACGGTTTGGAAGCTGGGCTGTTGCAGGTACTGGGGCAGCTGGCAGGTGTCCAGGGAGGCGCCTGGTGGAAGATGTCTGAGCCCAGCCAGAGGGGGGCAGGGAGGGAGCCTCTCTTCTCAAGTGGGGTTCACCAGACTGTGCGGGGTGTTTTTAACCACCTCGCAGTGGGACCTGTCTCCCCGAGAGGAAGCCGAGGCAGGCAGCCCTGGGCAGACACGCTGCCCACTACCATGGCTGCCACCAGGCTGCCCCAGGCCTGGCCCTCCTCGCGTGGACAGTGGGGCCGCTTTCTGGCGGGCCACTTCTCCTCTTCCCCTGAAATGACAGGAAAGGAGGGATATGGGAAGTTCTTCCCTTAGGAAGTTAAAAATCACCAAACGGTAGGCGTTTGCATTTTTAGCTTCACAACCCAACTCCCTGCTGGTCCAGACCCCGGTCCACGTGCACCCTGTGGTACCGCTGCCATTTCTGCATCCGCTGGGCCTGGCTCAGAGCAGTCCTCACCCAGTCCCTAGCACATCCCCCCAAACAGCCAGAGTCATCATGCGTTTCCCGGCAATACACATAGTGGCTGGGAGACGGGCAGCCGCGGAGATGCTCACGCAAGGCGGGAAAAGCGCCTCTCCGCACCCCCGACCAAGCCTGTCCAGCCAGTTAACTCTGCGGCCGGACTCCAGCTGCTCCCAGGCAGGGGCGCCCGCGCGGAGGTGTGTCCTCACGCTCCTGGAAAGCAGCCCTGCCAGGGGCCCGGGGTGGCAGGCCGGGCAGAAGACCTCCCCTGGGCACAGCTGCCAGAGAGACAAATGGTGCCCCCTTGCTGCTCCCCAAGCGCATGACCTTCATGGAGAAGTTACTGTCCCTCCTGCCAAAGGCAGGGTGCTGTGTGGCTGAACAGGAGCGCGGCCCCGCTTCCCGAGAAAGGGTGTTGAGCTGGGCTCCGGCTCCGAAGCGCCGTTCTGCGTGAATTCAGTGGAAGAAATGCCTGCTTAAGTTACTCTACAGGGAACGAGTGCCCTAGATTTGCCAGAAACGCCAATGTTATGTCAGTAAGTGGGATTTTGGGGGCCTGAATTTTAAATTTCTTCTCAAGCAATTTCATTTTTCTTCAGTAAAAGAATGTCCCGAGTGGCATTTAATGCAATTGCTCGGGTAAGACTGCACAGGTCCGTAGAAAACACCGAGCTGGAACGAGAGTTCCGGTTCAGGACTCCTTGGTGGGGACTACGTGGTCAGAACCCGCCCACCGCCCAGTGGGCGGGGCCGCGCCCAGCGCATGTGCAGTCCGGAGGCCTTGCGGGTGGCCAAGTTGAATCTCTGCAACACCAGTGACAGATGTATCTCTGAACAGTGCTCTCTTGAAACTGTTATCAAAAATATTTTTATAGTTCAAAGACTGTAAAAAGAAAACAAAAGCCCTTGGTTAAAGGCTAAAACAGAAAGCTGCCAAGACCTTCAACATCTGCACGGTTCCAGCTTCCTTTGATTAAAAACCCTGCAGGCTGCGGCCAGCCCAGGTCTGGGCGGGTGGGGGGGTCTGTTCCTGCACGGCCACGTCTGGGGCGCCTCAGCCGCAGATAGGGAGCAGAGATGCTGTTAAAGAGAAGCCAGTGCACATGGAAAAGGGCAAGGGTTCCCCTCAAACTTCTGTCCGACAGAGTCGATGGAAACAGCGGGGTGGGGACACCCGGGACTGCGTGGTTTGCGTGGGTCGCACCCTCAACTGATGGAGACAGGTTTCCATTCTCGTAACAAGGACTGTAACAAGGACCGGAGGGCCTGAGCACATTCACACCTTGCTGCGGCTCAGGTCACTAGGAGACACATGTTGAACTAGGGTGTCTCCTTGAGCAAAAAAGATGCTCAGATTTGTTTCATAAATTTGCTCATCATGGTTCTGTGCTGGGATTACTCTTAAGACACACAATTCCTGCGATGCTAACTTGATGTCTTCCCAGGTATGCCCTGCGCTGGCTGCCACCGTGTTCCGTGAGCTCCTGTGCCTTCTTCTTCAGCCTCCTGACGCTGAGGCTGGCAGGAGGTCACTGGGCTGACCTAGTGAAGTCTGGCAAGGGCGTTCATCTGGTGTCTCACAGTAGGGAGGCCTCGTGATCTGCTCAAGAAAGCACTCGGAACCGTTCTGAGTTTGACGCCCGCTGGCTCTCACCCTGAGATCGTTTCCGGGCTGGCCTCCTGGGTGCCGTGTCCCCGCATGCCTCAGTGGTGCCCAGCTAATAAGCCCACAGGTCTCAGGGAAAGGCCCTCAGTGTGTCGCTGGTGACACAAGCACGCATCGCCTTACGTCACGCTCTGTGACAATGTGGACAACCGCCAACCCTGCACAGTGTACCTGCAGTCCCATCTTGGTGTCCTGGGTGGTCAGTCTCAGGGGAGGGACAGAAGGCAAGGCCTTGCAGGAACTTTAGAAAGAGGCCCTTTGACGGGAAGTAGAATGAGAGACAGGAAGCACAGAGTGGGCCACGCAGCAGCAACCTGTGCCCACGTCGGTGAGAAGCGTGCCTGAGGGTGTCAGTATGTGTCGCAAGTGGGGAGCACAAAGGTATTAAAAACGCCAACATCGCCCTGACACAGACAGCATGGGATTATTCAGAGAGGGCTCAAGATGCAAGATTAACCCCTGGGCCGCCTCTTCTCTACAAACAGCCAGGCTCGTCGGGGCCCATGTTCAGTGGTCAGCTCTGGGTGGGTTTTTGGTGCCACCAGGTCACTCGGGTAATAAGGTTGTCCTCAGAGCCTCGCCTTTGCAATTTAACCCCGAGCCCCAACCTGAGCTTGGAAAGCGCTGCCATTCTTCCGAAACGGACGCTGACAGAAGAGTACACATTAAGAGAGGTGATCATAAATCAAATCACAAAAGAGGTGAGCCCAGACGGCCCATTTAAAAAAATCAGGTTTTGTTTTCATCGTACGTGTCGAAGGAAGGCTCGAGCGTGGAGAATGCACTTTCATATGCCAGACTCCGAGGGGACAAGGAGCTCCGATGGAAGAAGTGACCACCTGGAAAAGGAACAAGAAAAAGACTTACTAGGTTGTCAGGCTTGTACTGCCCCAGCGGCTCAGAGGAAAGAGGGTTGGTTATCTCGGAAGCATCACATTTGCTCAAACCCTGTCTCTATTCGGGGCTCTTTTCATGAGGGAAATGAAAGGAATTCAGGCATCTTTCAATTTAAGCACATTTTAAACATGGACATTCCAATGTTTGGGTCCTCAAAAGATTAACCACTGGAGCTCTTCAAAGCAAAAGCTGCCCGGTGGTCTTACAAGGCCTCCGCTTGCAAATGTGAAGACTTCTACCGAGCAACTCATGGTCCCCTCCCATCTGAGCCTGGGGTGGGGGTGCTCTGAACCCCTCCATCGCCGGGGCACACTGCGGCTGTGACTTTGAAGCTCTGACCGAGTTTTTATTTATATCAAAGTTATACCTTCAATGCTTCAGATAGTTAACCCCAAATGCACTCAAGCCGCGAATCTGCAGCTTGCCTTTTCAAGGGACAGCCGCTCTGGGTGACTCGTGGCACAGGCCTACATTCTCAGAAGGATGTGCCTGTGCCAATGCTCCCTGATGTCTTCAGCAATAGAACTTACTACTGGACCCCCACTCTGGGGTTCCCCCCCCATCTCCCCCTTAGCCACATCCACAGATTTTTGCATTGCCCCAACATACTCCCACTTGTATTTTGATACAAAAATTCAGTGTTTATATTATTTGATCATTTGTGCTCTTCAGAGCTAAGCCACATTTACAGTCTGTTTTCTGAACAACTGTGTTTTGTTTTACAGCTTCATAGGGGCATAACTGGCGTACAACAAAATGCACATATTTAAAATGTATAGTTTGACAAGTTTTGACCTATATACACATCCCTGAAACATAGCTGGAATCAAGACAACCAACAAACAAGAAAACAAAAACAAAAAAAGAAGTATTAGAAAATAAAAACACAGTGAACATCATGAATCCCGAAACTTCAATCCTAGTGACTCATCTTTCTTCCCCTTATTCCCACCTATTCCTACCCCCCAGATAAATGCAGGTGAGTTTGCATCTTGCTAAATTTTATTTAAGTGGAATCATGGGCTAATCTCCTGGCTCTTATGAGTAAAGCTGCTACAAATGTGTGCACACGGGTCTGACTTCTGTGTCCCTCGGGGGCTGCCCAGCACGGAGAGGCTGCGGAGGTGCACGCTGCCAGTTCTGCTCAGCACCCCGCCGGCCATGTGGGGTCCTACTCCGCACCTTCCCAGCACCTAGACACTCTGCGTCGGGCACACCAGCACAGCAGGACTCCCTGTGGCATCAGAGTGCAGTTCCCTGATACCCAGCACCTTCTGCTGTGCTCATCAATCCATTGTGTGTGTGTTGTGAAAAGGATTTTGTTCAAATCATTGCCCATTTAAAACAGTGGGTTGTCTTCCTATTACTGAGTTGTAAGAATTTTAAAAATACACACATACATATGTTCTGGACACAATTCCTTTGTTTTGGAAATATTTTCTCTTATTCTGTGGACTGCCTTTTTATTTTCATAACAATGCCCTCTGAATAGCAAAAGTTTTAAATTTTGATAAGATCTGATCTGTTGATTTTTTCCTTCTGCAGTCGAAATAAAGAATCTTGCTAATGCTAAGGGCAGTAAGATTCTTCTCCTGTGGCTTCATCTAGAAGCTTATAGCTTTAGCTTTCACATTTAGATAAACTGCTGCAAATAAATTTTTGTGTATGGTGGGAAATATGGATCAAAGTGCATTGTTTTGCCTATGGGCATGTTCAGTAATTTCAGCATCGTTTGCTTAGAGGGCTATCCTTTCCCCTTTGAGCTGCTTGGCACTGTGGTGGAAAATCTGCTCATGCAAGCACAGCTCTTCCGGGGCACTGTCCTTTGCTCCAGTAATCTGCCTGCCTTGCGCTGTCTTGATTACTGCAGCTTTTGTTGCCAAAGTTATCCATCTTGTCTTGGTTTCCATAAAATTATTATAAAGTCCATGTCTGAATTTCCAATATTTGTATTTTTTGTGGACCTATTTCTATTCTTTGCTTTTCCTCTTTTTTTTTTTTTTTTTTGTTATTTGGCTTCCTGGTATTCCTGCGATTTTTCTTTTTCTTTTACTATTCTTTCTTTATTAAATTATAGTTGACATACAATGGTATATGATTTCCAGGTGTCAACATAGTGAGTCTGCATTCACATACCTTTACAATGTGATCATAGTTAAATCTATTTTTTAAAAATATTTTATTTATTTATTTTTAGAGAGAGGGGAAGGGAAGGAGAAAGAGTGAGAGAGAAACATCAATGTATGGTTGCCTCTCATGAGTCCCCTGCTGGGAACCGGCCCGAAACCCAGGCATGCGCCCTGACTGGGAATCGAACTGTGATCATCTGGTTCGCAGGCCCGCGCTCAATACACTGAGCCACACCAGCCAGGGCCACAGTTAAGTCTATTATCATCTGTCATAATACAAAGTTATGATATCATTGACTATATTCCCTGTGCTCTCCATTATGTCCCATGACATTTACTTTGTAACCAGAAGTTTGTATTGCTTTTTCCCCTTCAGTTTTTCACTCGCTCTCCCACTCCGTGTTCTCTGGCAACCATCAGCATTCACTCTTTGTATGTGTTGGGTTGGCTAAAAAGTTCATTTGGTTTTTTCAGTAAGATGGCTCTAGTAGGGCTCAGTTGTTTGTCTTTAACTTCCTTCAAAACAATGTTGTTAGACTGTGTTGTGACAGCTGTCATATCAGCATGCATTTTAAAAAAAAACAACCTTATCAGAATTGGTGAATTTGACTTCTGGCCAAGATGGAGGCACAGGCAGACACACTGTGCCTCCTCACACAACTAAAAGAAGGACAACAACAAATTGAAAACCAAAAATAACCAGAACCGCCAGAAAGTCAAACTATGGAAGTCTGACAACCAAGGAGTTAAAGAAGAAACATTCATTCGGATAGGTAGGAGGGGCGGAGATAGGCAGCCCAGGCAAAGAGGCCTTGAAGCAGGGTGGTAGCTGGTAGACTGGGTGGTCCCATATTTGTGTGCAGATAAAGTGGGAGGAACAACTGGGGAGTGAGCTAGATTGAGCAATCCAGGATTCCAGCGCGGGAAAGTAACGTCTCAGAACCTGTGACTGAAAAAACCTGTGGGTGTTGAGGCAGTGGGAGAAACTCCCAGCCTCACAGGAGAGTCTGTTGGAAAGATCCACAGGGTCCTAAAATATACACAAACCCACCCACCTGGGAATCAGTGCTGGAAGGGCCCAATTTGCTTGTGGGTAGCAGATGAAGTGGCTGAGAGCCAGTGGAGAGGTGAGTAAGTGGCACTGTTCCCTCTCAGACCCTCCCCCAAGTACAGCATCACAATGCAGCCAAGTGGGTTGCTCCACCCTGGTAAACACCTAAGGTTCTGCCTCTTACTACGTAACAGGTGTGCCGAGACAAAAAAAATATGGCCCAAATGAAAGAACAGAGCAAAGTCCAAAAAAAAAAATACAGCTAAGTAGTGAAGAGATGGCCAACCTATTAGATGCACAGTTCAAAACACTGGTAATCAGGATGCTCACAGAAATGGCTGAGTATGGTCACAAAACAGAGGAAAAAGTGAAGGCTATAAAAGTGAAGTAAAGGAAAATGCACAGGGAACCAAGAGTGAAGGGAAGGAAACTGGGACTCAAATCAATGGTGTGGACTAAAAGGAAGAAATAAACATTCGACCAGAATAGAATGAAGAAACAAGAATTCAAAACAATGAGGAAAAACTTAGGAACCTTCAGGACAACTTTAAACCTCCCAACATCCAAATCATAGGGGGGCCAGAAGGAGAAGAGGAAGAACAAGAAATTGAAAACTTATTTGAAAATATAATGGAGGAGAACTTCCCCAATCTGGCAAAAGAAATAGAATTCCAGGAAGTCCAGGAAGTTCCGAGAGTACCAAAGAAGTTGGACCCAAGGAGGAACAGACCAAGGCACATAATGACATTACCCAAGATTAAAGAGGAGAGAATCTTAAAAGCAGCAAGAGAAATGGAAAGAGTTACCCACAAAGGAGTTCCCATAAAACAATTAGCTGATTTCTCAAAAGAAACCTTGCAGGCAAGAAGGGGCTGGGAAGAAGTATTCCAAGTCATGAAAGACAAAGACCTACATCCAAGATTGCTCTATCCAGCAAAGCTTTCATTTAGAATGGAAGGACAGATAAAGTGCTTCCCAGAGAAGGTCAAGTTAAAGGAGTTCATCATCACCAAGCCCTTATTATATGAAATGTTAAAGGGACTTAGATATCCAAGAAAAAGAAGATAAAAAATATGAATGGTAAAATGACAACAAATTCACAACTATCAACAACTATCAACTATCAACAATCTAAAAAACAAAAATAAAAATGAACTAAGCAAACAGCTAGAACAGGAACAGATTCACAGAAATGGACATCACAAGGAGGATTATGACCGGGGAGAGGGGAGAATGGGGGAAACAGTACAGGGAATAAAAAGTATAAATGATAGGTAGAAAATAGGGGGAGATTCAGAATAGTATGGGAAATGGAGAAGCCAAAGAACTTATATGTAAGACCCATGGACATGAGCTATGGTGAGGGAATGATGGTGGGAGGTGGGCACAGGGTGGAAGGGAATAAAGGGGACAAAAAAAATGGGACAACTGTAATAGCATAATCAATAAAATATATTAAAAATATATACAGATAAAAAACAAAAGAGTTTGCAATTCTCTGCAAAATATAATTACTTGCTTATACGTTTTGTCCTATTTGATGTTTTACATCTTTCTTTGCTTTTAGACTATAAACTACTCATGGATACAACTCAGATATACTTTATTTCAGTCTCTTCACATTGTGCCCTAAATACCACATAAACTCGAGTTGATTGGGATGGATGTATACTATCCCAACTAGGGATCACTAATTTGGGTCCAAATAGTTTTCTTTTTAATCCTTTCCTGAGGATAAAGGTGGGGTTGGTCAGGGGGAGAG